CGATTCGAGAGCAACTGGTTGCAATTGGTTTGTATTGGACTTACCATATCGAACTTTATCTCGATCGGGCATTTGGTTCCGGAGATATGGACACACAAAAAATGAAACTTCACAATCCTGTTGCGATGCTCACTTACCGTTTTCATGCTATGATTTGTTGAAAAATATCGAAAAACGCCATTTCTAAAAATTAGGCCTCAGTCAAAATGGCCGAATTCTAGCACCCATTTGATATGTTGCCTATATAGATGGCCAATGGAAGGTGTCAAAAGGAAAGTGTGGACATTTGGATTCAGAAACAATATAAAATAAAATAAAAATAGCTAAACTAGGCTAACGCGTTGAACTTAATGTCCTGAAGTAATTTAGTGTGATGCAATTGTATTGTGAAAAGATTTATTTCCGATTAATTTATTTAGAAGGCTCAATCGCATTAGCTTTTCGGAGCCAATATGTCACTGCTTAATAGCTTAATACTACGTCTAATAGGGGTGGACCGATTAATCGCGGTTTACTCGAAGTTAAAAAAGGAGTAGTTCCAGGCCAAATAGCTCAAAAAATAATAGGTTTTAGCTCGTCCTTGTCCGACTTGCATGAAACTCTGCATAATTGTTTGTAATAGGCGATCATTCATTTTTTTTGTATAAAACCGGTCATGTTGGATCTTTTTTTTTCAGAATGTCATCTGCAATTTTTTAATAGATTGTAGCACAACAACGTCACTATTGATCGAAATATCGCCTGAAACAGTATTTTTACAGTATTTTTTTGTAGTTTTAAGTAAAAATATAAAAAAATATATCTAAATAAGCATATCTTTTTGGCTCTCTTCAGATATAGATCTTTCTTTTTATGATTTTAACATTATTCGATTGGATCGTGAGGATTCACGTGGAGGAGGGGTTCTTTTGAGGATCAAAAAGTACCATTCCTTCACCACAATTTCCAGCTATTGAAGTTGTTTATATTCCTCTTAGAGCCGTTGTTAATCGAAAACAACTTTCAGATATATGTTCGGTACTTCCTGCTTCACGGTTGATTATTAGAGATTTTAATTCCCACGGTACAGGTTGGGGGGAACTGTTCTACTTTGATATATGACCTCTGCGACAGCTTCCATATGACAATTCTTAACAATGGAGAAGTAACACTTTTGGCTGGCCCATCCACGAATTGTAGCAGATTAGACCTCACACTTTGCTCTAATTCATTATCGTTGGATTGCACGTGGAATGTGATCCAGGATCCCCACGGTAGTGATCACTTGCCGATCAAAATTTCGGGTTCAGTCCGTCGGAACCCGTTAACGTCGCGTACGATCTCACCCGTAATATCGATTGGGCAAAGTTCAAGACTGTGATCGATGAAGCCCTAACGTCGGTAGAAGGGCTTCCACCGTTGGAGGAATATAACTTCCTCTCCAATATGATCTTGGACAGCGCGCTTCAAGCTAAAACTCGACTGGTTCCAGTAACGAATTTTCGTAGGAAACCACCATCCCCTTGGTGGGACCAGCAATGCACAGAGGTTTATCGTGAAAAGTCCGACGCATTTAAGCTTTTCCGCAAACGTGGAACACCCGAGCATTTCGAAGCGTACTCAGCTCTTGAACGCGAACTCAAGAGCCTCATCAAAACCAAGAAACGCGGATACTGGAGGCAATTCGTGGACGGATTATCGCGCGAAACGTCGATGAATACGCTTTGGAACGCTGCGCGGATGCGGATGCGTAACCGGTCTTCAAACGACGAAAGCGAGGATTTCTCGGATCGTTGGATTCTCAAGTTCGCGCGAAAAGATGTCCTGATTCCTCGCGAAACGACAAATTCAGTAGATGAGATCAGTAATCTTTTACAATGCTGGAGCTCTCACTCGCGCTCCGTTCGTGTCGCAATTCGGCTCCGGTCGCTAAGAGGCGTATGTTGGATTTGTTTTGTCAGTTCCTGGAGCTCAATATTGTCCCAGATTATTGGAGGCGGATGAGAGTTATAGCCATTAAAAAGCCTGGAAAACCCGCGTCAGATCATAACTCGTATCATCCTATCGCGATGTTATCGTGCATTCGAAAATTTTTGGAGAAAATTATCCTTTTTAGCCTGGACAAATGGGTTGAGATGAACCACCTACTCTCAGATACTCAATTTGGTTTCCGTAGGGGCTTTCCACTGAAATTAAGTTGGCTTCTCCTAAAAAAAGAGCAAATGGCTTCTGTCTTCTTGGATATTAAGGGGGCTTTTGATTCAGTATCGGTTGAAGTCCTTTCAGACAAACTCCACGCTTGTGGCCTTTCTCCATTAATTAATAACTTTTTGTAAAATTTGCTGTCAGGGAAACATGGAAACTCATGGAAACTCTACAGCTTCTCGATTAAGTTATATGGGCCTCCCCAAGGGCTCATGTTTAAGCCCCCTTTTGTATAATTTCTACGACAGAGAATTGTCTAAGTGACAACTGCCCGTTGAGACAACTAGCAAATGAGGGCGTAGTGTCTATGACAGGGCTCAAAGGGGTCGACCTGCAAGGACCCTTACAGGATACCTCAGACAGTTTGTCTACTTGGGCTATTCAGCTAGGCATCGAATTCTCCACGGAGAAAACTGAGTTGGTCGTTTTTTCCTAGGAAACATAGCCCTGCACAACCGAAGCTTCAACTTTTGGGTAAGCCAATCACTCATTCCATGTCTTTCAAATATCTTGGGGTCTGGTTCAATTCCAAATGCACCTGGAGATCCCACATTGAGTATCTGATGTGGAAATACCAACAAAGGATCAATTTTTTCCGTACAATTACCGGAACGTGGTGGGGAGCCCATCCACAAGATCTTCTAACGTTGTACTGGACAACGATTTTATCGGTTTTAGAGTATGGTAATTTAAGCTTCCAATCGGCGACTAAAACACATATCATCAAACTGGAACGGATCCAGTATAGCAGTCTTCGTATCGCGTTAGGATGCATGCACTCGACTCATACGATGAGTCTTGAAGTGTTGGCAGGCATGTTGCCACTCTCTGATCGGTTTTCGGAATTGTCCCTCAGGCTCCCTTCACGTCGTTACAATATATGACCAGCGAATCCAAACACATAAAGCAACCAACGATACAGACAAAACTGTTGCTACGACTACCATGACAAACTCGCTCTGTAACATAGCTCGATCGGAGTGGTAGAAGGATAATGATATAGTGCTTGCCTGCTTTGTTGCAATATACACGGATGAGGACATATGTAGCTTGTTCTAAATCGAGAAAAGACATAACAAAAAAAAAATCCCATTAACACATGTGTATCATCTTCGGCTTTACTTCGTGAAGCAATTTGCCAACAATTTGCTCATTTCCATTTCCAGTGAGCTGTGTCGCACGGGCTGCTTGTCATGAAAAAGGAGGAAGAAGATTATATCATTATTGCTTTCCACTTCTGACATAGCGTTATCATTCGGTTCGTTGATAGCTTGTCATTTTGTCATTTGTAGATATTTTTGATTTCTTGTATACGACTGGTTTTCATCAAGGTTGCAAAGACTCATTTCAGCTAAAATAATGTTTTTCGGAATAATAAAACCAAAAGATGGTATGATGGCATGTTTTACTTGTAACTTACAAGAAGAGGTTACAAAGTATGCGTTGGAAACATAAAACCTGTAAATTTTGCTTTCTATGAGTCACAATCAGCAATTTGCTGATCGCTGAGTGAGTGAGTGAGTGAGTGAGTTTGTGAAAAATCGCTGACTGTGACTCTCATGAAGTGAAATAAACAGGTTTAATATGTCAAACACATTCTTTGCAACCTCTTCTTGTATCCTACCAATTCAAAATTTGATCATGGCATCTAATTATTTCATAATTTAGAAAAACATTGTTTTAGCTGAAATGAGTCTTTGCAACCTTGGTTTTCATCAAGACTCTTGGTGAAGACCCCTTACTGGTCTACTCAAATTCCAATGGAAGATGTGTAACAGAAAAGAACTCCTTGAGCTTCTGGTTAATATCTTTTATCTTTTGGGCAAGATAAGAAGGGACTTCGATGTCCATTCCTCGAAGGGCACTGCTTAATTGCAATGTTTTCCTTGTGCTCAAATTGTATTTGGTTTTTATTAGGAACAAGTCATCAACAGATAGAATTGCATTACTATGCGAAGTCAATGAACGGACGTCCTCTCGTGTTAGCAAGAGTTACGGAGCCATCTTCATCAGAACGGTTTTCCCTAAGATAGGATGCAACAACTGAATTTCCGGTGTGGATCTATTTGGAGACCTCCTACGCTGAAGGCCTCCCACGCTTCTTCGCCTTATTCTGTAAGCCACATAGATTTGGCAATGTTACACGAGCAGCTATACATACGTCACATTAGCAATTCATTCCACTCCTCATTGAAACACGTTGACCATGTTTATACTGATGCACTTCAATTAGCTGATTTTGAGTACCAACTTTTTGCGTCGATATCCGATAGAAAATTTTAATTTTAATCGATTTTTCGGTTAGTTTTCGCAAATTAGTCTTCTTTAGCCATGAAACACAAACTACATATGTCCTGATTTTCCTCGTGATTTCTTAGCACTTTTATAACCAAATGCATGTGTATCTAAAAAGCGGACTGGATTTGACAAGGCGATCCCGAATGAACTTGTCAAAATTATAAACAAAAACAAACACGCTGAATTGAAACAAAGCAAACCTGTTGCCAGCTTGCACACTGAAGTTATTCATTGAAAATAAAAGATAATAACAATAAGGTGATCCAAGAGACGTTTTTCAGTGGAACTGACAACTAGAAATCTAGAGTGTATGAGTGATCTGGTGTTAATGGTGCTGAATTTAAACATAAACAAAGCAGAAATTCATATGATAATAAACTGCCAGTTCTACTGTGATCAGTCAAAAGTTCTTGGTAAAATTGCTCTAGACCTCCCGACCGATTGTTTTCAATGAGGTCGCAAATGATAGGGAAAGGCCTCTACTTGCATGAGCCAAAATATCAAACTTGTCGATTTTTTAAAAATAAATGTCTCTTCAAAACAAACCGTGTATAAAAAAAGCAAATACTGTTTATATTTTTACCAGAAAAACTTTATTTATCTATTTAGCTTTGTCTCAGACGTCATTCGATCAGAAGTGACATTTTCGTGCTACAGTTTATTGAGAAATGTAAAAGACGCCATTTTGAAAACAATTGCAAGATCCAAAATGGCCGATTTTTTGCAAAAATGTGAATTATTGTCCATAACAAAGCATATTGCGAAGTGTCATGCAAATTGGAGAAGGTCGAGTTTTACCGATTCGTATGAAGGAAGGAGCATGGAAATGAAGTATCGTTGTCTCATCAGAGAGTTGTCGCCAGCACTATAACGTGGTGCATTGAGACCAGGGTTCACGTCTGGTGGTTGACATCCTTCAGGAACGATTAATTTGTAAACATGAATGCCTTCTTTGCCCATAATTTCATACTCTGATCAGCTACTGCTCATTCCGGTTGTTTCGCTTCCGGTTTGCTTCGGCTAAACAGTTCGACTACCAAGAATATGGCATACAGCAGTCCAATGGCAAAAAAGATGCAGCTGTACACGGTAAATTGTCCGCGGATGTCCAGTGCGAAACCACCGTCGTTATCCACCACGGCAAGGGTGAGTATAGATTGCATCATCAAGCCCACCGTGGTGTTAATGCCGAAGATCAGCGCAAAGCTGTCATCGGAGATATGTTTGGCGATCTCCGAGGTGACGAGCGTGAGCGCAAAACAGTGCAGAATGCCGAACATTATGTAGCCGACATAGGAAACGGTCAGATTTGAGGTTACCGTTGCCATGAATATTGCAAAGCCTTCTAGGATTGCGATCATCGATAGGCAAGGGATGGTGATGTGCAATTTGAGGTATTTCTGGGGGACGAATCCTGCTAACAGTGTGACCAGGGTACCCATTAGAGTTAAGACAGCTTCGACTGCTCCATTCCAGAGTACAGTGTCTGGTCCACCAATGGTGGACCACAGGCCTTGTACATACGAAATTATTTGATTCATGAAGCATACTGCTACCGCCTGCCATAGACTGTATCGTATGACGGTAAAGTTTGTGTAGGCGCACTTGAAGTGAGCCCAAAGAAGAGTAGTAGCTCGGTTGCATATTGACTCTGGATCAGATTGATGCTTGTCCGATTTGAGCTCGATTTGCTCTTCCGAGGGCTCCTCCCGACGATGGAAGTACATGCTTGCAGGCACTGGGGGTAGCAAAAATGACCACGCCGTGATCGAGAGTTGTGCTGAAATTTAATCGCTGTTAATCTCCTGTAAATCAATTTAATAAAAATAGAAAGCATACCTCCCAGCGAGATGTAGTTCAGTCCTAGATAGTCGGTAATTCCAAAGTAAATAAACATCTGTGACGCAGCCGACGCCAGAAACCGTCCAGCTAGGGTTGCCGAACGAATGTATGAAGTGATCTTCTGGTAGTGTTTCCTATCAACCCTAGCGTAAATATACGCATAATATGCAAGCTCGGCAGCCAGGTACGTCCCATAGAACACCTCTAGGACCTGAACTGCCCCTAGCGAACTGGACCACACAAACAAGCTCCACACAACGGTCCCGGCCAATCCGGACACTATGATCAAAGGTTTGTAGCGAAAGTAATCCGTTATCAAGAACGCCACCACCAGCTGCGCCATGTAGGAATACGTCCCGACAGGAAGTACATCCTGTACCACCTGTTCAACCGTTAAGTTGTGCCGCGGACCGGTCAGAAACTCAAACACAAACGGTTCACTCGGTCGGAAATCTTTCAGGAACCCGAATATGCACAGAATAAAGGAAACACGCTGCCACTGCTTCATAGCTCACTATTAATATGAACAACCACCAACGTCCACGCGGATCACCAGAAACCTTTACTTCTCGCTCCTTATCGGTACTCTCGTTCTAACCTCGTAATTGAGTAGCGTGATAAGAGACTTGATCACAGCAACCATGCTACTCACCACCAGCGTGCTACATCGATCTAAGATGATCCAAGCCAAAAACCAGAATTATCTCTCTTCTATCCGTAAGCATCACTCCCAAGTGCTGACAAGTTTTTGCAAGATGTTATTATCTTATCTTATCGTGATTTATTTAGATTTACGCGAAATAATAAATAATTTAACTTTCCTTTTTCTCCCAATCGGGCTGAAGTCTTCCAGTTTAGACGTATGGGTCCACAGATATTTCGGAATCCTTGCCGCACAAAAGCAGGGTGTCCATTCAAATACCATTTTTCAATTCCCGGATTTTTTCCCGGTTATTAAAAAAAAAACCCTGCCTTAAACAAAAAAGGCGTTCAAAAATAACTCTGATCGCGCATGGGCAGAACTCTCCTACGTTGTGTGATTAATAGATGGTGAAAATAGAACACGTTCGTTTATCGGGCCATCCTGCCATGGCAGAGGCATGCGAACCAGTGTCTGTTATTATCATTTACCATCACATGCAAGAAGTAGCGCTTCAACCCAGTGTAGATGAATTGCGTTTGTTTAGAAAATCTTCGCTGTTACGTACGAGCGAAATGAACACATGAGTTCATTAAACGGTTTTATAACATTCCCCCGAAAACCATTCCCCAGAATCTCAGTTCCCAGAATGCACCATTCCCCCGAAAACCATTCCCCAGAATGTACCATTCCACAGAAAAATATGCCATGTTTAGATTGACTATTTTTGTTTATTATAGTCACTCCCGGAATCTTCTTTCGCGTATATAAAAAGAAGAGAAAAACTTCTTAATGGATCAAGGGCTTTTCCTTTCTTTGAAAATATAACCAAAGGAAATTATTTAATTCTTTGGATATACGTTAAAGAAGGGAATGTTCCCTTCTTTTAATATATAAAAGAGAACATAATTAATTCGTTAAATATACGATAAAGAAGGGAATATTCCCTTCTTTTAATATATAAGGAAAATATATAATCAATAGTTTTTCGCAAGGGATTCGGGATAATAACGTATGGAATAATGTTATAAATTTGTAATCGGTAGTTCAACGTTCCATGCACCGATTTTTTAATCCATCACGAGAAATTCTTCAACTCAGGTCGAACAATTCTTCGATAAGGTTTAACAGTTTCCGACTGGTTGAATTGGATTGCATAATAGACCCTTTAACTTTTTAAATGATGAACGAAGTGCTCGAAAACTTGAAGGCTGTCATTTTCTAAAGAGCTATAAAATGATTTGGAATTGATGAATATATAGTTCCATAAAAATAAACATAGTGTATTATCAATACTAAAAAAAAAAGAAAAGTGAAAATTACTAATTTCATCATCTTTTCTGGGGAATGGTACATTCTTGGGAATGGAATTCTGGGGAATGTTATAGAACCCATTAAACACCAACGAATACGCGTTTGTCGATATTCTCCAGTGCATGATTATCCAACTCAAAATTGTCAAAATCAGAAATGATCTTCAAAAGCATAATCAAATTCATTTTGGGCAAAATGATTATTTTGAATATTGTCAAATCCAGAGCCTAGAACCAGGATTTTATCATCAGTTCAGCATGAGGCAATAATTTGCCATCGGTTTGTGTGTAAAAATTAGCACAAAACGTCCTTCAGCGCTATATTTGTGTAAAATGAAAATAATTATTTTGCATTTGATCCTCAAAATCATCGCCACCAAGATGAAGACGAATATTAATATTGACAACAACGGAGGCGATAATGAACATCCAGCAGCCACGAATGAAGAAAAACAAAGGTTAACTACGATACTCTAAGGTTGCCTTGATCAAGAGAATGATGTTATGTCAAAATTAAGATCCATGCAAGTAGTTGGTCTATCTGTTAAGGTTGTCTTCGGTTTCAGCTAAGTTGAGTGTAGAACGAATGATTTTTATCTCAGAAACTTACCCGTCATAGGTCTAAATTCTTCATTATTGGTGATTTAATGCAAAACACCGCTCATGGAATAATGCTCAAAGCAATTCCAATGGTAATATTCTGTTTGATGATTGTTCTGCAGGTTATTACACTATTCAATATCCAAACAGCCCAACATGCTTTTCTTTTGCAAGAAATCCCTCCACTATTGATTTGGTCTTAACTGATTCATGTCAACTTTGTAGCCAATTGGTTACCCATGCTGACTTCGGTTCTGATCACCTTCCAGTAACTTTAGAAATATCCCAAGAAATAATGTCTAATCCCAACAGCTCTACTTTCAATTACCATAGAGCTGATTGGGAGCAATATCGAACGTTTATGGAATATAACTTCGATCCAAACATTCCTTTGCAAACCAAAGATGAAATTAATTATGCTCTTGAATCTCTGACTACTTCTATAGTTGATGCAAGAGCTGCCTCAGTATCCAAATGCGAGGTTAAATTCGATTCAATTATAATAGACGACGATCTTCAGCTCTTGATCCGTCTTAAAAATGTCCGTAGGAGACAATATCAAAGAACACGTGATCCTGCCATGAAAAGGATTTGCAAAAACAAATTTAAAATCGATTCTCTGCCCTGAGGAACAAAACTTTTGGAAATAATGTTTCTAAATTAGACCCGAGTTCCAAACTCTTTTGGAAACTCACAAAAATTTTGAAAAAACCTCAAAAGCCTATTCCAGCGCTTAAAGAAGGTGGTAAAATTTTGATCACAAATTTGGAAAAAGCTCAGAAACTTGTCAAGCAATTCGAGAGTTCCCATAATTTCAGTTTGGGTCTTACTAGTCCTATTGAGAATCAGGTTTCTCGGGATTATCTGAATATTTTCTCTCGGGAAAATATTTTTGATGATTCCTGGGGAACTGATTTGGACGAAGTAAGGTCTATAACTAAAAAGTTTCATAATATGAAAGCTCCAGATGATGATGGAATTTTCTATATCCTCATCAAAAAACTACCAGAGAGTACCTTGTCTTTCTTGGTAAAATTATTTAACAGATGTTTCCATTTGGCATACATGCAAAAGTTGTTGCAATTTTGAAGCCGGATAAAAATCCAGCTGAAGCTTCTAGCTAACGTCCAATAAGTTTGCTTTCTTCAAACTTTTTGGAAAGATAATTTTAAATAGAATGATGCTTCACATCAATTTTTGCAGATGAGCAGTTTGGATTTCGCCATGGGCATTCAACTACTCATCAACTCTTAAGAGTTACCAATTTAATTCGTTCAAACAAATCTAAAGGCTACTGAACTGGAGTTGCTCTTCTAGACATAGAAAAAGCATTCGACAGTGTTTGATCAAGGTTTGATTGCTAAATTGAAAAAGATAAATTTTCCACTTAAAATTATGAAATTAGTTCAAAATTATTTAACTGGCAGAACTTTGCAGGTAAATTATCAAAAATCCAAATATAATCGACTAGCTGTTAGAGCAGGCGTTCCTCAGGGTAGCATTCTAGGGCCTATATTGTATAACATTTTCACTTCGGACCTCCCTGATTTGCCTCAGGATTCCCACAAATCTTTGTTCGCTGATGACACAGGCATTTCCGCTAAAGGATTCTTCGTGTTATTTGCAGCAGACTGCAGAAAAGTTTAGATATTTTCTCTTTTTATTTACAAAAATGGAAGATTTCTCCCAACGCTTCCAAAACTCAACTTATAATGTTTCCACATAAGCCTAGAGCTTTCTTTTTTAAACCTTGTAGTAGTCACATAGTCACTATGAACGGAGTTCCAATTTCCTGGTCAAACCAATTGAAATATCTTGGATTGATACTTGACCAAAAATTAACTTTTAAAGATCACATTGAGGGCATTCAAGCCAAATGTAACAAATGTGTAAAATGTTTGTATCCTCGTATAAACAGGAAATCCAAACTTTGCCTGACGAATAAACTTCTAATATTTAAACAAGTTTTTAGACCGGCCATGCTTGAGAATTTTTCAGTCATTCCCCACCATGATGACTCTAATGCCAACCGTAACGCATCCAGGATTCAGGGAGGTGAAATATTGCTGTATTACCAAAACGTTAGAGGCATGAATACAACTGTAGCTGAGTACATATTGGCCTGCTCGGATGCTTGTTACGATATGTATGCCTTCACCGAAACTTGGTTGAACAGCAACACACTTTCTAAGCAAATATTTAGTTCGGATTTTACGGTCTACCGCACTGATCGTTCTCGAGCTACTAGCCCCAAAGCTTCCGGCGGTGGTGTCTTGCTAGCAGTTCGTGGATTATCTAATTTATTTCAATATATAAAGCTATACTGTCTTCGACAAAGTTGTTGTACTGAGATAGACCAACAAGCTTGTGACATTGGATTCATGTTAAACTGGGAACTATGCCGCTACAGGTGCTTCACTTTTATATTATTTATGACGGGCGTTATAATATATGGAACGTTGAACCCAAGTTAGAATACTTCGTGATCCTGGCCATACAGAAATTTGCTGTCTTGAGCAAAGTTGTTAAGGTGATCAAGTCCTTTTGGATAGTGGCCATATTAGTTCAGAACTCTTTCACTACGCAGCGCTAGTGTGCACACGAGCTACCTGTATAAGCTGTATCTCAACATCCTGGTCATATAGAAGGTTACTGTCTTCAGAAAAGTTGTTCAGGTGATCATGTCCTTTTGGATGGTGGTCGTACTAGTTCAAAACTCTCGCACTACGCGGAACTAGCGTGAAAGTGAACTTCCTGTATAAGCTGTATCTCGAGAACCTGGCCATATAGAAGGTTACTGTCTTGAGCAAAGTTATTCAGGTGACTAGTCCTTTTGGCGCTAGTGTGCACATGAACTTCCTTAATATGTTATGTCTCGAAAGCTTGTCCATATAAGATGTTGCTGTGCAACGTGAGAACAGGAACAGGAAAAAGGATGACGTGTAGAGACTGGAAATTGATTTCTGAAGCCATTTTCAAATCAATATGGGTATTTTCGGCTAAGGGACGACGTTTAGAGGTCGGAAATACCCATATTGTAGGGTATTTTACAGTTTTTCTTGACCCAATGGTCGCCATATGGATTCCAAAATGACGTCTGGCAATCATCTGACGTCATCCCTTTTCCGGTTTCTGTTCTCACGTTGCCCAGCAACATTTTATATGAACAAGCTTTCGAGACATAACATATTACCGAAGTTCATGTGCACACTAGCGCCGCGTAGTACGAGAGTTCTGAAATAACATGAGTACCATC